ATATATATATATATATATATATATATATATATAACATTTAAATGAATTAAAATGAATAATATAATTATAGTAAAAAAGAAAAAACAAAGATTCATCCTGGCAACAGATGGTTAAAAACAAACACCATCCATTCTTGCACGTCAAGTCTGAATTGACTTAAATTATTATATTATATTATTATTATTAAAATAATATTATAAATTATTATATTATTACTTCAGAAGTCACGTTGACTACTTTGATTACATTTTATAGTACTTTTTAGGATTCGCCATAGGATTTAGGATTTCTCTTAAAGCAGCAGCTCAGACGTCTCATTCTGCGTTTCACAAAAGAAATAAATCAATAAAAAAAATTCTTGATGTCTCACATGACAACCTTCACAGATATTTCCCAGGCCTTTATCACAGAGCAATCCATGATGTTCTGGAGAATCAGGGAGTGATTTAAATAAATATGATTCAGCCGAGAACGAGAACGAGATAAAGCGGCGCTCACAGCCTCAGTTAAAGGTCTTTGTGTGTGCTAATCTCTGCTAATCAGTGACACGGCTGAAAAGGCAAAGCATCGAGCTAAACAAGTGCATAGTCACCTTTATCCTCAGTGAACCCGCTCCAGCTCTCCGTCGCTCTCTCTGACTGTCAGTCCTGGGAGAATCACACGTTTCACACAGTCAGTACTTACAGTAAGTCACTGGGTTTAACTAACAAACACATTTCTCACATCAATAGTATGAACGGCTCATTGCCCGGATTTGTGGCTGGATTTAGCATTAACGGTCAGCTGATCGCAGCAATGCCGCTAGTTTGAGTATATGCTGCTGGTATAATGGGTAATTTTAGCCGCTTGTGGTAAGAAGTGTTAACTTTTAGCCCAGGTTAGGAGGCACGGAGCCAGACATGGGCCAGAGGGATGTTCTTTCACACTCTTTTGTGTACAACACAGTCTTATTTTCTCCAGAGGGGCCATTTTAAGGCCGCTGAGGGAGGAAAACAATCATCCAGCTTTGGCTAGTTTAGTTTAGATTAGCTGAGCATGCTGCAAATGTGCTAAAATGCACAGAGAGAGAAAGGCAGAGCATGTTAAAAAGCCTTTGATATGTTAAAATATCAGTGTCCAGTGTAAAATCTGGTGCCACTGCCTAGCATTTTTTCTCATTTAATTATTATTATTATTATTTTATTCCATTATAGTGTCATAAATTAAAATCATAAATTCCATATAAATGTCATAAAAGTAATTATTACGATTGTTTTAGTATTTGGTTTGTCTCTTTTTTGGTTTAATGATCGCTGCACTGGAGCTCATATGCAAATATCTCTCTATAAATGTCATAAAGTTGCTTATTAGTTCTAGAAATAGGGCAACATATTAAAGGGGTCATATGATGCTATTTTAAAGATCATTATTTTGTGTATTTGGTGTAAGAGAATATGTTGACATGCTTTAATGTTAAAAAAACCCATTCTTTTTCAAATACTGTACATTATTGTAGGTCCTCTATGCCCCGCCTCTCTCAAACGCTTCGTTTTCTACAAAGCCCCTCCTTCCGACAAGCACAGTGTGCTCTGATTGGCCAGCTGACCCAGTGCATTGTGATTGGCCGAACACCACAAGCACGCGTCGGAAATGTAACGCCCCTTTCCATAATCGCGAGCTTCAGTTTTCAACATAAATGTAAAGACCCTAGTCTTTACTAGACATAATGTCCCTAGTTTTACCATCAGTTCAAGCCCGAAAGGGGAACAGAGTCGCGTGACAGACACAGTGATGATGCTCGTATGTATTTGCAGTACACAAGCCGCGATTAAGAAAGCTGACTCCACTGTGATGTAACCCTGTCTCTCTCTCTCTCACACACACAAACACACACACAACGCAATACTCTACACGGCGCAAAACTCTGCATTTGAACAGTCAATAGCAAATACTTAAACTATTAAGAAAACATACTTACAGTAGCTGATTCAGAATAAGCGCCAGATTGTCATAGCAAAGTCGGAATTTACCCATTTATTTTTAGAAAAAGCCTTTGTGCACAGCCAGCCTTGTAGGCTATTCTCCTAGGTTCACAAAACTGTCGTCCATAAAATGCGTTGCACAAATTCGAACATCTTGGTTGTGCTGTTCTGTTGTAAATAAATCTTAACCAATGATTCCTCATTGCATCTACTTCCGGAAGGCCAAATAAAGTGCTTTTGCTTTTGCTTTCGCACTGAATCACACAGCGTCTCCCTGACATGGCCGCATCAACAAATACTGCTGTTCCTGAAACCATGCCTTCTTTCGTTGCATGAACAATTGGGCGGCATTACGCAAATATTTCTACATCGTGACGTAGACGTGTGGGGGCGTGTTTGAATGAGGTGTTTTATCTGGAACAGCCTTCACTTTTAGATAGAATAAATCTTTTTGTGGGAGACTTTGAGCTTTGTAACTCTGCAGATCGTATACATGCACAAATAGCTGCATAACACACTAAAGAAAAGGAAAAATAGAAATCGCATCATATGACCCCTTTAAGTGTTTTTGTCGTTGTAATGATTCTTTGTTTCAAATTTCTTTTTAAACAAGCCCTAAATAGTTCATAATGCCAAAATAGACACAAGTACCGTATTGTTGTTGATAAGAAAATCCTAAGAAAGTATTTTAGTTGCTTTTGTTTGATGTCACAACAGAAAACAGAACTTTCTTAAAATTCATTGTTGCCCAATTGAAATTCTGAGTTTGACAAAGACATAAACAGTTTTCAGAAATTCGTAATTATATCTATAGTAGTATTATCTATATTTATTATTCTTTATATATATATATATATATATATATATATATATATATATATATACAATGTATGCAAGGCTGCATTTATAAAATCAGTATGCATGTCAAATCAGTAATATTGTGAAATATTATTACAAATCAAAATAACTGTCTTCTATTTGAATATATTTTAAAATGTCATTTATTCCTGTGATCAGATCTGAATTTTCAGCATCATTCCTCCAGTCTTCAGTGTCACATGATCCTTCAGAAATCATTTTTATATGCTGATTTGCTGCTCAAGAAACATGTATTATTATTATTATTAATGTTGAAAACAGTTTTGCTGCTTCATATTTTTGTGGAAACTGTGTTTCAGGATTCTTTGATGAATAGAAAGTTCAAAAGAACAGCATTGATCTGAAATATAAATCTTTTGTAATATTATAAATGTCGCTTTTGATCAATCAAATGTATCCTTGTATCATTTCTTTAAAAATGTACTGTATTAGTATTTAATATATATTTAGAAGTACACAGAATTAGACAAATGAATCCTTAAAACTAATGAATGGGTTGATATGTGTGTATCTGTATCTGCTGAGAGCTTCATCGTGTCCTTACATGTCTTTACTTTGACCTGAGGCCAAATTGAAAGCATGCACATCTGCACACATGCATGGCATGCATTGATACACAGACCTTGAGATCTTGAATCAAAATATTCAGTCAGTCACTATGTTGCAATGCAACCGAGACATTTCCACATATACTGACTTCCCTAACTAGCAGTCTGTCTGGAAGGCCCTTTTTAAACCTGATTTCCCAGACGTAGACAAAAATCTCATCAGTATCCCAAAAATCATGCCTTAAACCTTTTGTTTGTTCTAGTTTTACCTTTAAAAGGCCTTGTCTTTGTGATGTAAAAGTGTACACATTTAGAAAAGGTGTGGCGGCACTTAAACATTATGACATATGCAACACTGCGAGAAGCGCTGACAGGCTCTTTTATTATGAATAAAAACTAGGCTTCCTCATGCAGACACTTTCACATATGAAAACTTCTCTGTTGCAGGTCAGTTCTGGCTTTCGCAACACTATCTATTTCTGTTGGTCCAGGAAAAAAAAAACTCACATACTGACCACTTTTTGGGTGCAACACACTGGATATTTACAAAAAAGCTCATTCATCTTGATGTTACATAACACCTATGAAGGAAATAACATTGTGATTTCTATTACAGTCACACCTTATGCAGACAGAGCATTATTGTCATCTTGCGTGTTTCTGTTATTGTATCTATTGTTTGATTATAATAGCTAGTATTTTTAGGCCTCTCTCACCCCTGGTTTGTTGTTTCCCCGTCAGTTTCTCCAGCTGCAGAGAGGATTCGCTTTATTTTGGGGGAAGATGACAGCGGTCCTCCTCCGCCGCAGCTCTTCACTGAACTCGACGAGCTTCTGGCCGTTGACGGTCAAGAGATGGAGTGGAAGGAAACAGCCAGGTAAAGTGTAAAAACACACATTATGAGAATTGGAATAGATACATAAGCAATTTGATTCCAATCCATGTCGTATTTTTTTTCTCAACATTGCCACAAGGGGCACTATAGTGCGTATTAAAGTTATCATAACATAAAAAATAAAATCTGCCTTGATTTTTTGGCATATAAGAGGTCTTTGTACCCAGGACTGTCGCAAGGGGGGTGCAAGGCCCTGTGTGAAGTTGACACGCGAGGCCCTCTGCAATTTGTGTGTGTGTGTGTGTGTGTGTGTGTGTGTGTGTGGTGGGGGGGTGCTATAGTAACGAACGCAACTTTAACACGCATCTGATCGATTGTGATGCCGTGCTCACTGACATGCTTGCGCACGAATCACGGTCACGCACACGTTCATAAGAATTGTAAGATCTACTGCATAATAATAATAAAGCAATTAAATAAGTAAATAAGAATGCTAAAATAAGTTCTAGGTTTGTAGTTATATAATGAAGTAGTAATCAATTTACACTATTTGAAAATAATATTTTATTTTAAAATGTGCACATTCACTCTTATTCGTATGTCTAATAGTCGAAAACGCAAACGTCTCTTGTCACGTTCATTTATGATTTACTTGAATCATGATCGCATATTTTCAATTCAAAACGACGAAATATTACTGTCGGTCGCTGAATATTTCTATCGTAAAACAGTTTTCTAATACAGTACTACTGTACTTACATCTTTCCATGAACTCTCGTTGCGTGGTGACAGTGACAGTAAGACCCGCCTTCTTTGATTTGATTGGCCATCTCGATCATTTTGACTTTGATGAGCGCTGTCGAACCACTGAGGCAGACCAGCCTAAAGGTTTAACTTTTTGAAACTTGAAAACTTGAACTTTTTGTCATCCTAACAACAAACAGCTTTACTCATTCTTATACAAAGAGTCTTATACTGTCTATCAGCTATGACTAAGCCGCTTTTCCACTATCAGGCCGAACGGTTCTCTTTGCGTAACTGTTTCATTCCGTGCCGATTTTCCACTGTGGTGCTGATAACGGAGCTCTTTGGAATGCAATACAAATGCGTAATGGTACAAACCGTACCAGAACGTTCTTGGAACCGTTCGGTCCGATAGTGGAAAAGCGGCTTATTTTTAGTCTTTCAAAGGACAAAATGGGTGGAAAAACAGTAATAACAAATTAACGTTAGACATTAATGACATAAAAAGCAGGCCAGGAGCGAGGGCCTGTGCGGTCGCATACTTGGCACAGCCCTTGCGACGGTACTGTTTGTACCATTAAAACATCCAGCAAGTTTCATAGCTTAAAACATCCTCCTCATTATAAACAAAGCATTTATTTAATCAAGCAAAAATTGCTTGTTTGGATATTGTGGGATTTTTGTCGCCACACAGGCGAATATATTTGCATATGACCACCTCCAGAGCAAGAAATCAACCAATAGTTATACATCTTCACACCATAGGCCCCGCCCACTGGCATACACTAATCAATATGTAAGAATCAATTAGTCTAGCCTGTTTTTGTAGCGCGCCTCCCATCCAATAAATCACAATAAGCTTCGTGCATTTTCACTTTTGATATGAAACAAAGCTTCAGATGTCAAATTCTGTCCATTTTATTACAATATTCAAGCAATAAATACCATTTTGGCGGTGACAGATTGCTGTAGCACCTCACTTCAAGAGAAGCGGCAACACGAGGCGCGCATGAACTGATCATCTCCTCCGCTTTAATAACAGTTTCAGCACGAATAAACATGAATGAAAATCCAAAGGTATGTTAAAAGAAAGAGTACAACTTACTTACTGAAATTCGTATCCTGTAATCGTTCAATAAGTGTTTCAACCGCGGAAAGACGTCAGTATAACAGCTTGTAAACAATATAACGCGTACCGTCACTTTAACCTCAGAAAAAAAAAACATATTCGGTGACCATAAACTGGTTAGTCAGCTAGAAAAATTAACTCTAGCGAGGAGCATTTCACTAAATATAAGCACTATATAACATATTCAGATTATCATTTCTACTGTTCTTCAGTATTTAATTTATGTTTCTGTCAAGTTTTTATGACAGCCACCATTTAAATAATTATATTTCTACTCCAATTCGTCTTTTGAAATATAAACATGTAATTTTTAAAGTTAGTATTATAACTTTATTATTATAAAAAACTTCATTGAGTGTAATTTCAGTGTTTGTATACGAATCAGTTAATTTTAACATTCAAAATATTATAGTAATGTATAGTACAAACTGACTCTCTTGTATATTTGACAGCATTAGTTGAGAGATTTTGTTCCATGAGAAAATTTGCCTTGTGTTGGGAAGTAACTAATTACATGTAACGGAATTACGTAATTTAATTACAAAATAAATGTAACTGTAATCAGTTACAGTTACTGAGAAAAAATCTGTAATTACATTACAGTTACTTTTGAAAATGAATTTTTTTCACACACACCCACATACAGATTTAATTAATTTCTTTCCCAAATTGCATTGACTGCTCTAAAATATGAGACACCAATGTTTCAAGACACAGAATAGGACACGTTTATATGATTTATATCCTATTTAGGTTTATGTATATGCTTTATTTTTTTAAGATGAACTGTTAGATGCCTGTGTTTCCTGTCATGCAAAGATTTGATTTAAAAAAAACGGTATCATCGCTATTAAACTATATCTTGTTATGGTTTTAAAGCTGTATTTAACCTCAGAACGATCTCAAAGTCTGAGTTTGTGGTGGCTGTGCTTTAAAAAATAAATTATTATAATCTTAATTCAAGTGATGAAGGAAGTCTCACAGTAATCATGCAGTGTTGAGCGCTACTGTAAGATTAAACCTGCCTGGTTTAAATGTTTGAAAATGATTATCAGTTAAAAACATCGAAAATTTGCCTTGTGTTAGGAAGTAACTAATTACATGTAACGGAATTACGTAATTTAATTACAAAATAAATGTAACTGTAATCAGTTACAGTTACTGAGAAAAAATCTGTAATTACATTACAGTTACTTTTGAAAATGAATTTTTTTCACACACACCCACATACAGATTTAATTAATTTCTTTCCCAAATTGCATTGACTGCTCTAAAATATGAGACACCAATGTTTCAAGACAGTGTTTCTGAACATTATTAACCTCGATTATAAGTGAACCTCAAGGAATATATTAAAATAATAAAAACAACAACATCAAATATGAGACAAAATCAATTTCTGCAGCTCTAAAAGACAAATGAGTCATTATTCAGTTTGAGTCAATCCAGTGTTGATTCAGATCAGTAGTGTAAATTCATTTTAAGTAATCAAATGTAATCAGTTACATTACTTTAATAAAGTAATTGAAATAGTTACACTACTTATTACATTTTAAATAGGGTAACTTGTAATCTGTACCCTATTAAATTTCCAATGTAACCTTCCCAACACTGACTGTACCTGATGTAATCCAAAATAATCGAATTGCAAGCTTGTGAATCAAAATGTAATCGAATTGTGAAATTTGTGTAAATACTCAGCCCTAATATATATTGTGCAAAAAAACATTATTAACCTCGATTATAAGTGAACCTCAAGGAATATATTAAAATAATAAAAACAACTTCATCAAATATGAGACAAAATCAATTTCTGCAGCTCTAAAAGACAAATGAGTCATTATTCAGTTTGAGTCAATCCAGTGTTGATTCAGATCAGTAGTGTAAATTCATTCGGTTCAGCCATTAGCAGCTCTCCTGAAGACAATCGTGTCGTTATTCAGCTCCAGTCAGTTCGGTGTTAATTCGATTCAGTTCAATAACTGTGTCAAGCTAAATGCGTCAACTGTGAACGAATTTGATTCGGCTATAAAAAGCTCTACAGAAGACAAAACTCGTCATTCAGTTCAGTTCAGTTCCCCCAAAATCATTTCCAGATTTCGGCTAACTTCAGCCAATGTTTTTTTCCAGCTGTTTTGTCCTCAGACGGATATGTAGGTCAGAAACGCACGCTTGAAAGGGGGAGACATCTCGTCTGGTTCTGCTAAAACAACAGAAGTATTCAACACTCGTGTCATTTGCCAGGTGCTCATGATTTTAGTGTGCCACTTGACTGTTCTTAGGATTTCACACATACCTGACTCACGTATGCTATTAGATAAGAGTCTGGGCTCCAGAATAAGGGTCAAGCAGAAAACGGCACCAAATATAACAAAAGAAAAATGCATCTGAACTAAAAGAGAGGTACATGCTTATTTTTTTCCATTACTGCAGGTCTTTTCCTGTCACGAACGTATCGACTGACCGACACACACAGGCCTTGCTAACTAGTAATTGAGTCTAAATGAAACTTTTATTTAACAGGTAAATCATGTTTTTGAATCGTTCCATGAAATGGGTGACTTTTCTATTATGTAAAGTTGAAAAGAAATTTCAATGGAATATGATTTAGATATGTTGTATTTGGCTAATCTTGTCTAATGTGAAAAATAAAAGACAGGTGTCAAATGTTAGTAGAACAAGCTTTTGAAATGAGTTTTTCTGAAAACTTTTATGATGCCACTCCCTTTTCATAATGACATTTAAACTGACATTTCACAACTGTTTTGAGGGGGAAATCACATGGATGATTTGATTATTTTATTTCTTATTTATTTTATTGCATTTATTTTGTTTTGTTTTAAATAAATATGATTTATAATGTGAAAATTAAAACTTATTATTTTTAGGGAAATAATAGTTTAATGGGGATAAAACCTCACATGGAGAGATTCTCCTTTATTTATTTATTTAGATAAATGTGATTTATAATGTGAATCTGAAAACCAGTGCATTTTATTTAAGCTACACAGACATGCAAATACAACAAATTAAAGTGCAAATACAGAATTGTACGTTTTTGATTAATTTTGAATTAATATTTAAGTCATCAAATGGTGTGGACTCAAATGGTGCTCCTTTCATACAGCGACTCTTATATACTGTTTCTTTCTTTGGATTTGCATGTTCCAGATTTACGTGTTAAGAGCTACATGGATCATGTTAAAATGAAACCATTTGCAAACAAAGAGCCCAGTGTTTTCATGTCTGTGCACATGTGTGTGTGTGTGTGTGGATGCACAAAGCCAGAGTTCCCATGGGTCTCTGGGTTCACCTGAGTCTCAGGTAACATATCAAAGCCGCAGTGTGTGTGTGTGTGTGTATGTATCACTTTTGTCTCGGATATCATACCCACGCTTGGCTAAACGCAGCTCAGCAGCCTTTCTGCACAAGATTACAGAGCTCTAAAGGATATCTGTGTGCTTGGGTATCGTTTGTCTAAGACAGATGTTCGCTCAAGCAGACATGGGTAAGCTGATAACAGGGCAGCAGAGCTTTAAGAATGTTTGAATCATTTCATTATTATTTTACATCAGAAAGCTTTCAGTTAGTTGGCAGAAAGGCAAATATAAGGTCTTCATAATATGGTCTTGCAAGCATAAAATACATAAAATACCATGGTACAGAGATGGTAGAACGATGATAATCAATGATTACCGTATTCATATAAATCACTGGTCAAAAGAGATTATTTCATGTTTTTGAAAAAAGTCTCTTCTGCATTTTTTTTGTGATCAAAAATACTGTAAAATCAGTAATATTGTGAAATATTATTACAATTTAAAATAACTGTTTTCTGTTTGAATATATTTAAAAATGTAATTTATTTCTGTGATGCAAAGCTGAATTTTCAGCATCATTACTCCAGTCTCCAGTGTCACACGATCCTTCAGAAATCATTCTATGTTGATTTTTACTGTAGAGAAACATTTCTGATTATTATTATCATTGTTATTATCAGTGTTGGAAACATAATAAATTATACGATTTTAAATATAGTGGAAAACGGCTTTATATTTTTTTGTGGAAAAAAAATCTATTCATTTAATCAATTTAATGCATCTTTGCTGAATAAAAGTGCATTTCTTTCAAAAAGTATAAAAATGAAATATGATATTTTATAGAACATATGTTATCATGGTACATAATACACTGTGATCGATGACCAAAAATTAACACAGAAACATGGTATTATCATAGAACATGCCCAAAACATGGTATTTTTTGCATGTACCTCAGTAAAACCCGTTGCATGCCCAAAATACATGGCATTATGATGGTAAATGTTCACAAAATACAATATTCTCATTGTAACATGAAAGATGAAATGTCATTATCATGGTACATGGCATGCCCAAAAAACATGGTATTTTCATGGTATTTTTTCAAAAGTGAACTGACGTCAGTGCTCTAAATATTGCTCAGTTGCTTTCAGTACATTTATGTGTGTTGTGTGTTTTTCTCAGGTGGATAAAGTTTGAGGAGAAGGTGGAGAAGGGTGGAGAACGGTGGAGTAAACCTCATGTAGCCACTCTGTCTCTTCACTCACTCTTCCAGCTGAAAAACTGCATCGAGAAAGGAACCATCAAGCTGGACATGGAGGCCAACTCACTTCAGCAGATCGTCGGTAAAACTGCACATCAGCACTTCTTCAAGGATGCTTTATGGCTGTATAGGGTTCTTTAGAGGTTAAAAAAGATCTTCAGAGCAGTGTTTTGGTTTCTGGGTTCCTTAAACAGGGTTTTTTGGGGGTTTTAAAAAAGGCTTTAAATGGTTCACCAATGATTCACCCTTTCACAAATTAAGGCCTGAAAAGTTCCTAAATTGGATCAGAAATTTCTTTGTTCCAACACGCTACATATACAGTTAAGCAAGCTGAGGGAATAAATAAAAAAGGGGGAAAAATATTTAGAAATCCTTTTTTATTTGATATTTTAGGGAATTAGTTGTTTCAGACTGTTCATATAATTTAAATTCCCATAAAAGTCCCATACATTTAAAAAAAAAAAGATTAATTGGCATTTTATATCAACTTTCTAAATTATAATTTTTTTATTTTTATTAATTTCAGTATTTGTAATTGTGTAATAGTTTTTTATTTGAGTTATTTTAATTAAACTCAGTTATATAAATTAGCGTGTTTTCTACTGATTTTTAGTATTAACTTTAGTATTTTTTTTGTGTAATATAAATGTGTAACTACCAAAAGGAAAAAATAATAATTGACATTTTATGTCTTTCTTCGTTGTAGTGAAATTCTTAGTTAAGAGCTAAATTAATTTTATTTATTTTTCAGTATTTGTAATAATTTGTAATTATTTTTCATAATTGCATTTATTTTTAATTAAACTCTTTAATTACTGTTTTTTATTTATGATTTTTATTTGAATTAAAATATAAATGTTCAACTCCCAAAAGAAAAACTTGTAGTGAAATTCTTAATTAAGCTAAATCATTTTTTTTATTATAATAATTTTTTTTAATACAGTATTTTATTGTGTCTACTTCCATTTATTCCTATTTATTTAAAATTCAATTTTTTCCTTTACTTGGTCTTAAATTGACTTTCATAAAATCTGCAGAAACCCAGCTTAAAGCAGCAGTACACCAGGGTTGGGAAGGTTACTTTTAAAATGTATTTCGTTACAGATTACAAAATATATGCTTTAAAAAGTATTTTGTAATGCATTTCGTTAGATTACTGAATTTTAGTAACTTAATCTAAATACTTTAGAATACTTTGGAATACTTAAGGTAAGGGGCATTTTAACTTTGATGTCTTATTTTTATGTTAACCACCTCTAAATAAAAATGGGTTGTATGAATGCATTTAAAACAATTATAAATGCATAAATAATGCTATGAGATTAATGTTTTAAATATAACATTTCGAACATAGAAATAAAAAATTATGGGAGGAAAATATGTTTTTAAATATGAAACTAAAACCGCCAGTAGGAGGTGTCTTAATGAAAGATTCATGGAATCATTCGATTCATTCAAAAGGACTGATTCATTCAGGAATGAAGCAAGTGATTTTATGAATGTAATTGAATCATTCTCTCGACTGATTCGTTCAAAATGCGGCTTCATTCGGGAACCAAATGTTTCTCGCAGACGCGCACCTCTTCTGATGTGGATTTATTTTGAAGGCAGTGGTTATTTGCATAAAGTGCAAATAGCCATAAATTCTATTTACACATGTAGGAAAACAACAGTATTTTCTTTGCAACAAGTAATAGTAATTAGATGCTATTTAGTAAATAGTAATTAGAATACTTATTGCAAACAGATATGTGATGGGAAAAGGGAGAAGAACGGGGGTTGAATGAGTTCGGCATAAGGTGGATTCAAACTCAAATCTTATCACCACGTGTCTTAAAAAGGCATCTTTTTAATGGTCAATACCAACCAGATTGGCTTTTAGTGTAAGTAGACGATCGGTTGTACGGAACCATTCTTGTTGGCGCTCCTGAGCAAATCAGACAATACTGTTCTTTTAAGAAAGTCACTAAATATTAACTTTTTGCTATGAATTGCATAAAATCAGCATCATGTTTGCAATCGCGCTAATATTCGGCAAAGCAGCACTCTTCTTCCTCAATTGATATTGCTGAACTATACCATGTGTTATTAATATATAGAAAAACAAGAACTCGTGCAAACCTGAGACTGAGAGTGTAGGAAAACAACAGTATTTTCTTTGCAACAAGTAATAGTAATTAGATGCTATTTAGTAAATAGTAATTAGAATACTTATTGCAAACAGATATGTGATGGGAAAAGGGAGAAGAACGGGGGTTGAATGAGTTCGGCATAAGGTGGATTCAAACTCAAATCTTATCACCACGTGTCTTAAAAAGGCATCTTTTTAATGGTCAATACCAACCAGATTGGCTTTTAGTGTAAGTAGACGATCGGTTGTACGGAACCATTCTTGTTGGCGCTCCTGAGCAAATCAGACAATACTGTTCTTTTAAGAAAGTCACTAAATATTAACTTTTTGCTATGAATTGCATAAAATCAGCATCATGTTTGCAATCACGCTAATATTCGGCAAAGCAGCACTCTTCTTCCTCAATTGATATTGCTGAACTATACCATGTGTTATTAATATATAGAAAAACAAGAACTCGTGCAAACCTGAGACTGAGAGCTAGGGATGGGCGTATCTATCCTGAAATATCGATATATCGATACTGATGCGAGTATTGAAAGTATCGATACTCAAATAAAAAATATCGATACTAAGGTGTGTTTTATTTACCAGTGATTTTGTTCATTTAACAAAAAATAATGCGTATAATATGCATTAAATTGGACGAATATCCTATGTTAGCGAATAATTGTGTAGGATAGAACTATTTTCCTGCACATCAGAACACGCGCAAATGTTGCAAGACAGAACCAAACAATCACAGAGCGTTCACTCACTTCTGACAGTGCATTCAAACAGGGCTGCTTTTGGGAACTGAAGCCCAAAACAATGCTCATAAGAGGACAGAAAAAACATATGTTTGAGTTATTTCACAATAAACAAATTGAAATTGTAGCCTACATAGTTTGTGTGCAACTGCATTTATTTAAATTGAATGCTAAAAGTTCATATTGATCATGTTCTATTCTGTAATGTTAACATAAATCATACACTGTCAGAATAAAAAGGTTGCATTTTATGCGTGCAACAGCCTGTCACTGCCAGTCCCTTACGAAAATTAACCATGGTTTTACTAAAGTGACCGTAGTCAAAGTCCCTTTAAGACAAGTCATGTCACTCGGCGGCCATCTTTGAAACGCCTCTCTGGCATGCAAGTGCAACTCCTATCTCTTTGAATGAGGAAACATCAAATTCTACAAAACTGTTCACTAAGCTTGCGATTAAATTTCATATTTGAAATTACCAAAGAAATCTGATATCAACTGTGTCATGTTTATTTTGCTCAAATAGCGTTAGAAAAAGCGTATTATCCAGGCTAGATCAGCCAGTGCTCATGCGCAGTCCTGAGCACATGTCTCAGCAGCTACAGTAACGCGCTGACCTTACCGATTAGCGATTGGCTCCTTCATTTAGAATTAGATTAGATTGAGCGACCATATTGAACGTTGCGTTTTTCCCCATCCAAAACTATACGAGTGACACGTCTTGGGTATTCTATAGTCTTTGCCGTAGTTTAACTGTAGTAATTGTAGATTTCCATGGTTACCACTACAGTAAACATATTTTAACCATGTTTAAACAAAAATATAACCTAATAAGTTGCAGTTAAGGCGTATTGAATGTTAAAATGCGTTTCAAATATAATAGTTAGTCAAAGTCCCTTTAAGACAAGTCATGTCACTCGGCGGCCATCTTTGAAACGCCTCTCTGGCATGCAAGTGCAACTCCTATCTCTTTGAATGAGGAAACATCAAATTCTACAAAACTGTTCACTAAGCTTGCGATTAAATTTCATATTTGAAATTACCAAAGAAATCTGATATCAACTGTGTCATGTTTATTTTGCTCAAATAGCGTTAGAAAAAGCGTATTATCCAGGCTAGATCAGCCAGTGCTCATGCGCAGTCCTGAGCACATGTCTCAGCAGCTACAGTAACGCGCTGACCTTACCGATTAGCGATTGGCTCCTTCATTTAGAATTAGATTAGATTGAGCGACCATATTGAACGTTGCGTTTTTCCCCATCCAAAACTATACGAGTGACACGTCTTGGGTATTCTATAGTCTTTGCCGTAGTTTAACTGTAGTAATTGTAGATTTCCATGGTTACCACTACAGTAAACATATTTTAACCATGTTTAAACAAAAATATAACCTAATAAGTTGCAGTTAAGGCGTATTGAATGTTAAAATGCGTTTCAAATATAATAGTAAATGGGTATCATTAGCCATTTTACTCTTAGTAATTTAATGTTAATAAATTTCATAATTTAAAAGTTCAGTTTAGAAGTATCGGCATTGGTATTGGTATCTACGATATTGGCCTTTAAAAGTATCGTATCGGTATCGGTGTCAACGATACTGGCCTTCTAAGGTATCGGTATCGTATCGAAAACAAAATAAGTGCTATCGCCCATCCCTACTGAGAACAACTTACTTTAAGATGCTTTTTCAAGGTTAGATGTTCCTTTGAAGCCGAGAGAAGTTTTGTTGCAGGTAAACAAAAATTACATTGCTCTGTGATGTTCCGTCTTTTTATATGTAATATCGTCTTTGTATTTCCATGACAATTACGTGCTTGGCTTTCTGGTTTTCTCTTGCATTGTAGTGAGTCGTCTTTAGTCTGCACTCTGCAGGCCAGTTTGCTGTTTGAACAGCTGCACGCGAGTCAGAATCACCAGTGATTAAAATTTCCAGTCATTTTACATTAATATTGAAAAAATAAATGACATTAAAAATCAAAGTAATCACTTTGGTAATCTAAAATACTTTTCGGCTTTAACTGTAATTTTATTACCACCCATTTAAAATGCAAATATAATGAACTACAGTTACTCATATTTTGTATTTTAAATACGTAACAATGTTTTCGTATTTCGTTTCCAACCCTGCAGTGCACACATGCTGAAATGTGTCTGTGTGTTTCAGAAATGATCACTGACAGTCAGATTGAGAGCGGGCAGCTGAAGGCCGATCTGAAGGAGATGGTCATGTACACTCTCCTGCGGAAACATCGCCACCAGACCAAGAAGTCCAACCTGCGTTCGCTGGCAGACATCGGCAAAAGCGTGTCGAGCGCGAGTCGTCTGTTCAGCAGCCAGGAGAACGGTAACACAGCTGCCACATTAACCCTCTCTCTTACACTCGATCGCTTTCCTCATCTCTCCTCTCGCTTTCACCACCAGCATCTATCAGCTCCATCCATCAGCAGCGTCTCTCGCTCGGTTTACAAAAGGTTGCATTCGTAGCAGATGTCTTGTGGGTAACATAAAAAGGAGATTTGCACATTGCAAAATACTTTGATGTTTCAAGCTCACAAGTGATCAAATGTGCTGATGAGATGCAGTTGGTTGTTATATTTTCGCAGCAATCAAACCTCAGACCCTCCCAGGAAAGACTAGTAACCTCTAGAAACCCCCAGACATGTTCTCAAGATGTTTTGGCTTCTGAAATTCCTGATAGTGTCTTTTTCTAAATAAAAGTAACATGTTGATACTTCAGTACCAATCTAATCATGTTTCTCTCAGTTTTAGGAAGTAGCCAAACAAAGTAGCTAACTTAAATTTAACATGAAATCAAAATCCAGCTTTTTGTCTTTGTTGATAAACGTACTTGGTCTTATCGTGATTCACTGGTTCACACAATTCAAAGAAAAACATGTTTGGTATCATAATCTTTCATCAAAAACTGCTTCTGAAATGACTTTCCTTTTCTGCTGACATCATCAAGGCCTTTTATTTTAGCCCCTCCCCCTAGTGACCATATAGGGCAGCGGTGGCGAACTCTGGTCCTGGAGAGCCGCAGCCCTGCAGAGTTCAGCTCCAACCCTAATTAAAACTCACCTGCCTGTAGCTTCCTAGTAACCGTTCAGACCTTGATTAGCTTGTTCAGGTGTGTTTGATTAGGGTTGAAGCAAAACTCTGCAGGGCTGCGGCTCTCCAGGACCGACGTTCGCCACCCCTGATCTAGAGACACATTGCACCGTCAGATTCATTCTGTGTGCTTTTTTCCTCAATGTTTTACATGGAAAAGCAAAATGTGTCTTGTTTTGACTTTAATGTTGAAGAACTAGAAACTAGTTCTAGAAATGTTGTCTAAATGTCAAGAAATGTAGCGTGACAATAGATCTGATGTTTTCATAATACTGTAGCTTTGTCTAGAAACAAGGTGTTTGTTGTAATGCTAAATGGCTATTTTTAATGTGCTGCACATGCAAGTGTACAGTCAAACAAGCAGAGGGGATAATCAAATGCTCTTTCATGCAAACATATGACATTTGAAGTCTTTTTTATTTAATTTATTTTAGGAAATCAGTTGTTTTGGATTTTTCATATAAATGAACTACTCTCATAAAAAGGAAAAAAAGGTTCATTGCATTTTACTTCTTCTTTCTCATAGCCAAATTGTTTGTTAAATTAAATTACATTTTATTTTATTTTTCAACATTTTAAATTATTTTAATTAATTAATTTGATATTAATAATTAATTAATTAATGATTATGTAATTTAATTTTTTTATTATTTTATTTTCCAATATTTTAATCACTTTTAATTATTTTTCAACAATTTCAAGTTTTTTAAATTCAGATATATAATTATTAATTATATAATAATTAATACTTATTTAATTGTTTAACTACTAAATTCAATTATACAACTTCAAATATATTTTAGTATTCATGTTTTTAGTTTTATAATAAGATTCATTTCCAATTTATGGTCTTCTTTCTTGTAGTGAAATTCTTAGATAAGTGCTAAATTAAATTATATTTAATTAATAAATAAATAATTATTTTCATTTAATTTTATTATATATATATATATATATATATATATATATATATATATATATATTTGTAAT